TAATATTAACTTCTTGTTTATTGAACTGTTGTATTAAATCAGTATCACATTTACAAACTCCCTTAAAAATCATTAAAAGTTGTCACTCATCTTAGTTCATCGCGATCTCACATTTATAATCAACGAAGCTCTCTACATTGCGCAATGAATCTCTTATTTACACCTTGTCTACACTTTGCTTATGAAAGGATTCGTGAGATATGTCTGTGATACATTACTCAATGCTGCAAAACACATAGAAAGCTTTGAAGCTCCCCTGAGCGCAATCACAAATATGATGATGATCGGGTCAGTCGCACTGGTGCTCCTAAAAAAATTTTCATAGTCGCATGCAGTAGTTTCATAGTCGCACTGTAGAGCCCTGTTGTACAGTACAGCTCTCCAAACTGAGATCACCTCAGTTGAGTATTATGAAATCATAATGACCTCTGATATTTAGCAGTCATATTGTCGCCCTACTTGACCTTGCGGTGTCTGGCAATTTCATTGCGTTCTCCTCCATAATTGTGTTTCTAGTATTACATTGGGGCTGAACAGGATCTGATTTTTGTTAGAATTAATATAGTAATTAGGGTTTTGTTATGTATAAATTGGATGCACTTTAAGTAAAATGGATTACACACATCTTCTTTAAAATCTAGGTCATATTAGTAGATCATATTTGGAGAGCCAGAGCAGAGAAAAATTATAATGAACTAAAACTAAAATAAGAAAAACAGTTTTGTCACTTGAAATCAAATAAATGTTAACTGAAATAAAATATAAAAAATCTAACTTATTTTATTTCAGTTATGTCAATGCAACATTTCTCATTTACATTTAATAAAAAAAAACTATATAGACATTTAAAAAAAAAAAACACAACGAAATTAATAAAACTTGAAAATTGAAATACAAAATATAAAATAAAATCTAATTCAAATATTTATAAAACCCTGACCCAGAGGCCCTTTCTTGGTTCATATTCCTCATCCTCAGTCAGTCTGATGTCTCTCATAAACATGCATAATGAAATAATGTTTCTCACCGCATGCTCAACATCTGAATGCACAGCAAGCCTGAACTTGATCTAAGCTTGGCTGATCACTCTTGACACCTTATCTCACACTGCCGTCTGCTTATTGATAGGCCTGTCAAACATGCTGTCATGTATACACACACGCATGTAAACACACTCTCAGGGTCAGCAGGTCAGACAGGTGAAGTAGTGTTCAGTTACTGAATAGGATTTCACAATATCATGCAGTGTTGAGACTTAGTATTATGAAATAATACTTGTTGTTATTTTCTCATGATATTGCATTGATATTTCTAGGTCTTGCATCAATATTTACTGTTCGTACATTTTTTATTTGTATGTTCATATGATTTTAAGCTGGAAATGTCAGGGAATTCAAGTCAATAATTTTAAATATACCATTAAAATGAATAAAATCTTATGTTCTCACTATAGGTGTTGGAGGACAACACAGGGGTCCGGAGAGTGGTGGTCACCCCTCAGTCTCCAGAATGTTATCCTCCCAGTTATTCCCCAGCCATCTCTCCAACTCATCACTTATCTCCATACATGGCCCCACCACCCTTTATTCCCAACTCGCACACGGCCTTCTACCCACCCGTCAGCCCTGGGGACATTCCCCCCCACCAGTACTACCAGCATCATATCCCACCCATGTACAGTGAAGGTAAGAGCGTATGATCACCGACTTATTCTTCTCTCTACTCTCCTCTTACCCTGTCAAGTGAAATCTCTTCAAGTGAAGTTTCTCAGAAGAACACCATAGTTTTGAGAGAGATCACAAAGGTTTTTCAACAAATGCAAGGTTTTGCAATAGTTTTGCGAGAGAATGCAAATGTTTTGCAATTGAACGCAAAGTTTCTCAGGCAAACTAAATATTTTTACTTGAGAATGCTAATTTTTTAGCAAGTGAACGTAAAGTTTTTCTAAGGCAAATGCAATAGTTTTACAAGAGAATGCAAATGTTTCACAAGTGAACGCAAAGTTTCTCAGGTAAACGCAATAGTTTTGCGAGAGAACGCAAATCTTTTGCAAGTAAACGCAAAGTTTCTCATGCAAACGCAATAGTTTTGCGAGAGCAAATGTTTTGCAAGTGAACACAAAGTATCTCAGAAGAACACCATAGTTTTGAGAGAGATCGCAAATGTTTTTCAGCAAATGCGAAGTTTCTTAGGGGAATACGATAGTTTTGCGAGAGAATGCATATGTTTTGCAAGTGAACGCAAAGTTTCTCAGGCAAACTAAATATTTTTACGTGAGAATGCAAATTTTTTCGAAAGTGAGCGTAAAGTTTTTCTAAGGCAAACGCAATAGTTTTGCGAGAGAATGCAAATGTTTCACAAGTGAATGCAAAGTTTCTCATGTAAACGCAATAGTTTTGCGAGAGCAAATGTTTTGCAAGTGAACACAAAGTTTCTCAGAAGAGCACCATAGTTTTGAGAGAGATCGCAAATGTTTTTCGGGAAACGCAAAGTTTCTTAGGGGAATACAATAGTTTTGCGAGAGAATGCAAATGTTTTGCAAGTGAATGCAAAGTTTTCTTAGGCAAACGCAATAGTTTTGCAAGAGCATATGTTTTGCAAGTGAACACAAAGTTTCTCAGAAGAACACCATAGTTTTGTGAGAGAATGCAAATGTTTTGCAAGTGAACGCAAAGTTTCTCAGGCAAACTAAATATTTTTACGTGAGAATGCAAATTTTTTCGCAAGTGAGCGTAAAGTTTTTCTTAGGCAAACGCAATAGTTTTGCAAGAGAATGCAAATGTTTCACAAGTGAACGCAAAGTTTCTCAGGTAAACGCAATAGTTTTGCGAGAGAACGCAAATCTTTTGCAAGTAAACGCAAAGTTTCTCATGCAAACGCAATAGTTTTGCGAGAGCAAATGTTTTGCAAGTGAACACAAAGTATCTCAGAAGAACACCATAGTTTTGAGAGAGATCGCAAATGTTTTTCAGCAAATGCGAAGTTTCTTAGGGGAATACATTAGTTTTGCATGAATGCAAATGTTTTGCAAGTGAACGCAGTTTCTCAGGCAAACTAAATATTTTTACGTGAGAATGCAAATCTTTTGCAAGTGAGCGCAAAGTTTTTCAGGCAAACTAAATATTTTTACGTGAGAATGCAAATCTTATGCAAGTGAACGCAAAGTTTCTCATGCTTTGCAATAGTTTGAGAGAGAATGCAAATGTTTTGCAAGTAAATGCAAAGTTTTTCGTGAAACAATACTTTTGTGAGGGAAGTTTTACAAGAGAACACAATGTTTCTTCGGGGGAACACAGTACTTTGTGAGAGAACGCAATCATTTTGCGAGAGAACACAACATTTTTTGGGGAAATGCAATAGCTTTGCAAATGAACGCAAATGCTTTGTAAGTGAATGCAGTTTATCGGGGGAACATAATACAGTTGTGAGAAAACCAAAAACTTTTGCATCTCTTGTTTTTTTTTTCATCACTTCCATCGCTTCTCTTAGGTGCTCCGTATATTTTCTCCATACTTGCTTTTAAAAAATGCAATTTTTGCTATTTCCAACTTAAATAGCAGCTTCGTGGTTGAATGATTGTTTTGTTGTCGCAGAGATAATTCCTGTGTATGGGATGAACTACATTGGGCGAGATGAGCAGTACAAACCACCACCAAAGAAGATGAAGGACAGACTGGAGCGTCAGAATCGTCTCAACAGCCCTCCCTCCATCTATAAGAGCAACATGGGCTGCAACAACATGTACAATGGCTATGGCAAGGTCCACGGAAATCTTGGAGGTGTCGGAGGAGGAGGAAGCAGTCCTGGAGCTAAAAAAAACACCCGTGGAGCTCGGAGTAGCCCCAGGTCCAGTGAGCCAGACTTACAAGGTAAGAACATTCGCAGGTCTGTAGGTTTGGTTTTAAGTTCGTAAACTATCATTCAGAAGTTTGGAGGATGTGATAAATGACCTGAACAGTCACAAGGAGATGAAAATCATGGGAGCGAAGTTGACGTCCAAAAGTTTGTTTATTTCAGGCGGATGTGCAAATTGTGCAAATAAATATGTTTAAGTGCTTAAAACAAAGATTGTGATAAAAACAGTCTAAAACTAAAACTGCTAAGTACTTTAAATAGTACTAACTTCCCTCCAATTTCTCAGATTTTTTTTAATAAACTCTTTACTTACAATATGACTTATACATGAGATTTAGAAACAAGAGTTTATGTGGATAAATACAACTAATAATACAAATAAAAAGAGGATGGATAAACCAAAGCATATTTGCACAAACATTTCCATCACAGGAAAAAAATTAAAATTTTAGATTTATTAAAATTAAAAGCAGTTATTTTAAATTCTAAAAATATTCTCACAGTAATATTGTTTTTACTGATTTTTTATCAAATATTTTTTATAACAAATAATAAATAAAAGAGACTTCTTTCAAAAACATAAAAAAAAAATCTTAATGACCCCAAACTTTGAAAGGTATATGATAAATATTAAAATATTGTCATATAAAATATTTTCTTTTTAATATAATTTAAATATTATTGTAATATTATTAATTTAATAAAAATAAATCAATGTAAAGTCCTGTTCTTTCGTAATGTAAAATCTAAGTTACAAGGAATTTCATGAGTCAGAGCAGAGTGAGATGATTACATTCTGCTTTGTGCCAAAAATTCTCGGCAACGTTTACACAAGACATTATAGATGTTATTGTGGTTACATTAAATCATCTTGTACAAGGCTAGAATATTTAGCCTCTGATGTTTCACGGCTTCCATTAGCCATCTGTAATGCATGTTTCCCCATGTACCCACAATGTTTTTCTCTCTCCTCTTAAAAAAAGATAAGTGCATCAATAGAGGTAAAGGGGGTCTTCATGCCGCGGAAACTGCATAGCTTGGAATCGCCGAGGTGCTATCGTTTTTCCAGAACCCACAATGTGGCCCTTGTGTCTCAGGTTGGGCCTCTGCTTAAAGGCAGCCCACATACCTGTGGAGTCACATTCTCCCAATGAAGGGGTCCTTTGAGCTTGGCCACCGATCCTCACCAATTCCACATGTGCCTTATCAGGACCCCTGGAGTGCCGATTAGGGAAGAGCTCCATTTAAGATACTGTTCACATGCTGTTTCCCGCTCTCAGGAACATTTTCTTAACATAAACATTTTATGAGTATACATCCATAACTGTTCGAAATTATTTAAATGCACGCCTGCACTCCAGATGGTCATTGCCATTTTTCTGCACTTCTGCCAATTTCTTTTCTTTTTTGTTCTCTCAGCCTTTGGTGTCCTTGAAGTTTTTGCTTTAAATTATGTAAGTGCCACTGATCCCAGGTGTTTCGTCAATGCATGCACATTTACAAGTGCTGACAAGTGCGGCAAAGGGAATGACCCCTTTATTTATTTGATCTGCCAAAAGGGCAGTTTTGGCCCTCAAAAAAAAGCATCCATATTCAATGTATTCGTCTGTGTTTTATGTTAAAGGCAGAACGTAGTATTATATGCAGGTGTTGGAAGACTTGACTCAGTGCACACTGACATCATGGAAACGCGATTTATCTGCTGCAAGCACAAGCCGCCTGTTCTTTGATCAGCTAATGACAGGCCTTCCCAGTCTAACAAGCAAAACAAGAATTGCTCATACAGTACATCCATATGGTGTTTCAATTTTACACACACACTTGGAGTATCTTCAGGATTAAAGGCGAACGCCGGCTGTGGCAGAGTTCCCAGGAGATAAGACTGCCTGTGAAGCTATTACTCCGTAACTTTGGCTGCTGTACACTTTATACATATACAGTTAGATGATTATTTGTTGATGGTTATTTCGTGTTGCATATTGAATAATGGGGAAAAAAGAAAACATCGTTACATGATATTTTAAAATAATCTGATTTTTATTCAATTTTGATGTCAAAATGTGTGAAGAGGTGCATTGATTTAGCTGGTAAAGAAATTGGGACAATGAGCAGAAGTTTGTGTGCTGATCAGATTTACTTGAACTGTTCATTAAAATTATTAGTTCACCCAAAAATGATCATTTAGTCACCCTTGTGTTATTCCAAACATGTATGATCTTACTTCTGTGGAACACAAAATAAATATGATTTTATTTATTTTTTATTTCCTGACAAGCATTGCATCGCTATGCTATGCTATGCTTTGCTTTGTTTTGTTTTTGGTCCATACAATACAAGTCAATGAGATCCAATTTTGTTTTGGACTCCATTGACTTGCATTGTGTGGATAAAAGGGTTTAACCTTCGTCAGAATAATTCTTCTTTTGTATTCCAAAGAAAACAAAAGTGATGCTGGCTTGGAATGACATGAGAGTCAGTAAATGATGACAATTTTCATTTTCTGGCGAACTATCCCTTTAAAGCTGACAAATGATCTTACATGTTGTTTGGTTATTGAACATAATAGGGTGTAAAACCTTGCAGTCAGTGTAGGCCAAGCGGATGAGTGTTGTGGAGGTCAAAAGAAGCAGGGCACTGGGGTCGAGTCTAATAGACCGCAGCGTGTGGCTCTCCTCTGTGGAATCGACTGAATGCTTGATGAAGGATAGAAAACAAACTTGAGGCTTCTTGCTCGTGTCACTTACTGAGGGCTACAGCCATCTGGGCCTCACTGCAGCCTTGCTTCTAGGCATAAATCATCACAACCACATATACACATGCAGACTACTTGGCTCCCCGGGTCACGCCGGAGATCAGGTTAAGTTTACGTTTTTTTTTTCTTTCTGAGAGGAAGCCATAATAGTGTGATCAAACTCTCAAGACTGAAAAAAAAAGAGAAATGGAGGGAATGAGAAAGAGGCGGACAACAAAAGGGCAGACATTCCAACTGTCGAAAATACTGTGTTGTTGGCATAGCAGCTTGAAGATCCAGGCCTGGCTACCAGACACGACTAGAGCTGTGAAAACAACTCAACTCGTCCTCTCTCAGCACTTCGGCTGGACAGTCTTTGCTCAGATCATCCCATAGGCACAAACGTGCTCACCTCAGCTCACAAAGCTCAATTACATAAGACAGGAAACCACATCCCGGGGCCCATCAGCTCCTTTCTTAAGCTGCAAGGATATTTGTGCTTTCTACAGCTCCACCCTCATTAACTAGATTAGGCTGGGGCTAAGACTGTGTGCAGAGCAAGACTGGCCCTTAGATTAACCTTCTCATGGTCTCAGGCTTGCAGCACTTCAACCTTAACTCCTTTCTATCTCCAGCTTTCCTTGTGTGTTTGCATGGACTCAAGCAGAAACAGATGTTCACTTCTGCTTCTCTTTGGCGCTGTGCATTTCCTCCAGCCACGTGCTTTCACTCCGTCATTACAGTCCAGAAGCAACAGATGTTCCTTAATCTTGACTTGTGTTTTTTTGCCACAATGGTAATAGTTTCCCACATTCACTCTCTCACAACATATGAGTCACTGAGAAAGGTTATGCCCCGAGGTCACTTCGATAACAGCATGCGATGGAGCAATAATGTGTGACGCAACTTGGGGAAACCGAATCATATGAGAAGGTCAAGGGCAGATAAGACCTGGTAACCGGATGCTAGCTCTCCACCTAGTTAAACGTGACCTTTCAATTATCTGCTGGTGCTTATTTGATCTTTTACAGTTGGCACAGCAGAACTCTCACCTATCTTATGAGTCTGGGTAGGTTGTTTTTTAAGAAGATGCCATAGAAAGTGCTGAGAACTTGGAGTGTGTGTGTGTGTTTCTGAGAAGTCCCTCTTACAGCTCTTACAGTAAGACAATGCACAAACTGCGTCTGTTTCAGTGGAAGTGTGTGTCTGTGCCAGGGTTATTAGTGGTGGTTTCTGCTAAATGTGCATGTGAAGACAAGCCTTTAGATGACTGCAGTTCTATTGCATCAATCAAATCGAAACTTTTTACTCCATGTACTCTGGTGAAATTTTAGATCTAATATTTATGTAAATACAAATAGTAAGGTTAAAATGTGAATAGCAAAGTCGGCTCATTTTCACTGCTCAAACTCATTTTTTTTATTTCTGTATGTGCTAGAAATATTTGTGATTTCATTAAATGTTTCTTTACCATTTTCCTTACATACATTTTTCTTTATATAGATATGTTTAAAAAAATCAAAAAATTATTTTTGCTGGAAACTGGAAAATTTGTATCCTAATGGACATTCAACCAATCTAAAATATTTAAAAAAAAAAGTGACGTGAAAGTGACATGTGGCCAAGTATGGTGACCCATACTCGGAAGTAGTGCTCTGCATTTACCCATCCAAAGTGCACACACAAAGCAGTGAACACACACAAACCGTGAACACACACCCGGAGCAGTGGGCAGCCATTTATGCTGCGGCGCCTATTAAAGGACAATGCAGCAGTGAAAAGAGAAAGTTATGTCAACTGATCCAAAACTTCCTTACATGTTTCAAGGTCAGTTGGTCATTTTACTTACACATGATGCACATTTATAAAAGAGCAAAAGTATTTAAGACATTAAGATGTAGTATAACGTGTGCAAACTACCTAAAAGACTAAAATAATTATAAGTAGGAATAGTGATTCAATAAGGAGGTACAAAGTAAACACAAAAATAGACTGGCACCTGTGGAGAATATGCCACTAGGCATCCAGAGCAGGTCTCCCTGGTTCAGTCTCTCTGTAGCTCTCAGTAGTCTCGTTCCCTCCGGCCTCCACCTCTCTCCTCTTCCCTCTATCCCTCTTTTCTAGCCTCTGCCAACTTTCTCCAGTTCCCTTCCAGGAAGCGCTTGCGTATCCCTGTGTCCCTTGGCAGTAGTGAGGCCATGCATCTCTGCTGTGAGCGAATGCCACTGAGAGTCCCTCTGGAGATATGGAGCTAGAGACATGGAGCTAGCACACTAAAGGCGA